TATGCTCGTCTTCATTGAAGATGACAAGTGGGTGTTATTACCCGATAAAGACGACTGGTTTCTCAATATTAGGCTCGGCTCCCCCTACGTGTTCACGGATAACAAAGACAACCACCTAAACAAAGTCGTGAACAACGGAACCCTGCTCGTGGCTTACGTCCCGACTCAGAGACGTAGCGTAGTCATCAGTCCAGTCGCCAGTATGGCAGCCCACATGCTATCGGGTAAACCCGGGATGCAAAACGTGGTATTGCAGTTGAGTGTCTGAATTCGAAGGCGTGGTCAACATCCTGGAGAGTCTACCGGCGAACTCAACACTGGTCATACAAGTCTACCTAGGGGAACCATCGCAGGATGATGTCGAGATAGTGAAGGGGGTCAAACTCCGGTGGGGGAGACAACACCAGTATCACGTTTGCAACGTTTACGTGCGGGTGGGTGTCGACTCCAAAACCAGTCTGCAGGGTGTCACAGTGGTCGTGGAAGACACTATATCACTAACCAAGATATTCCTACCCGACAACATACACTTCATGGGGGTGAAGTGCACCCCTGAACTATTATCAGAAAACCAGTTGGAAATTATATCGTAATAGTATTATAGCAATGTCTTGGCTTCGCCCCAACACTACACTTAACGACTTAGGGGACACGGAGGGATTCGATCAGCCTGGTGAGGAAGACACCTTATACATCCTACACTTCAAAGACAACGTGTATAGGCGGGTGTCGTTATCAGATTTTAAAGAGCCTGAATGGTTAGTCAACTTAACCCTCGCCTCACCTTATATCACATCAAAAGAAGATGGGTATATCTATGAAATTAAGAATAGCGGTACCGCGCTCGGGTTTTTCGTTCCGGGACCTAATACAAAGATTATACTAAGACTGGTTTTACCCAATATGTTACTATCATTCCTCGGGGGTGAGTTAAAGTATGACTGCTACAGACACCGATCGAATATTCCAGTTGTGTCACCAGCTGCAGGCTCCACACTCATCATAGAAGTCTATATCACTAGAGTTAATAGTAATAATCTAGAACAACAACTTGTACCCGGGGTGATAGTACACTGGAATCCCCAGAACCGTAGTGAACGTTACCGCACCATCATCATACAACCGGACCCCTCAACAGGTTCTATAACCCCCTCAATAATCCCCTCCGAGGGGGATCGTGTGGATGCAAAGTTACCTATTAAACTCTCATCTATTTTCCTACATGAGGATTTACACCTTATAAGTCTCAAGTACGTTGATCGAAGGTTAAATGAAACCCAATTAAAATATCTTTTGTAATATATATTATAGGATGGGGCTGTACCCAGTCGTAGAGGAAGTAGCGAAGACCCTGGAAACCGTAGACGGGTTCCGCTTGAGACAGTTATGTGATGTAAAACGTCAACTAGAACAAGACCGCGACACGCGGAAAGCACTATATAACAAGTACCATAGAGCTTTCAATGCCGTGGATGGGACTGATACTGCCCTTATGGCAACCAGCATGGGACTAGGGGCGGCAGGTGTTGGGTTGTTAACCACCATCGTGGCCGCACCTATAGTGCTAGGCATTGAAATAACAGCTGGGGTGGTAGGGGTGGCAGGGTTGGTGTTTAAGTTTACATCGCAAGGCATTGAAACACGACGAGATCAGGGTTCTGGCCGAAGCAAAGCTGAACACGGTAAGTGAGCGTATTTCCAAGGCACTCACTGACAGTAACATCTCAGATGAGGAGTTTCGTTCAATCCTCTCTGAACTCACAAAATATGACAAAATGAAACAAGAGATTCGATCCAATTCTCGTAAGTCTGCTATCAGCGAAGACGAGAAAAAGAGTACATAGAACAGGGGATACAAAAAGCCCGGCAAGCCTTTATTACGAACACCAAAGAGATCATAGGCGATTCACATTAAACTGTTTTATCGAGGTCAACGTGACATAGTGTCACAGTAGTGTCATAGCGGCACGTGGAGCTATTATAGGTGGAGCCCAGCTTTGGATGATACAATACCCGTTAAACTGACCTACTTCAGCTAAGTCCGCGGTAGCTCAGTCGGTTGAGTGGTGCGGCCCATTATGTACAGTCTGCGCAAGCTGTACATGTGGGTTCGTATCCCGCCTTCACAACTTTGTGTGATGTGAGGTTCTCTCACGGTGAGAGACACAATTCCCCTTGGGAGGAAGCACAATACATTTCTATTTCTCCCTTGGGGAATTGTGGCTGCCGGGGACATTTTACTACTTTTCAAAAGTAGTAGATGCAATGGTAGCAAGAGCTAAGGGTCCGACCAAAGCCTTATTTGGGAAATAAGGCTTTGCAGAGGCTTTTGTTGGACTTGGTCCCGGACAATCATTGTATCTACTACTTGGGCTTACGGGCATGATTTTTACCAATCACGAACCTTATAGCAGACTGTGGGGAAAAACCGTCATTAGAAACCAACCTTTATCCAATAAAATCGCTTCTTACAACTGCGAAAATACTCCTGGCAAGGTTACTGTGATATAATTGATGATTAAAGCTTTGGAACAATACCCGCCATCAAATGAATCTTCTAGAGTGTTGTTCATACGGAGCTTCGAAAACGGAAGCCTTTCCCAATGTTGTGTCAGGTTACCGGGTGAAAAGCCACGGTTATCGGGGAAAAGGCGACAATACATATTATTTAATTAATCTTGATATAATAATATTCTGATTACGTAAAAATGAAAATATAAAAGAAATAGGTAAGAGGATATTATGGCATCTTACAAATGGATTAAAGTAGCGGTAGTTAACGTCTCCTTCGTGGTTTATATGGACATTTTAAGTGTGTAAATATGTATTACTATTGGAAATAAACTTATTTAAGTTGAAGTTGTATTATTTGAATAATATGATCAACATACCTTTGGTATTTATCGACAGTTGGATTAGACCTAAAAAAAATTAATGGTGTATGACATAGCAATAATGTTTCACGAGCTGATATTTTCCTTGATAAACGTAGGCTTCTATCTTATTATAAGGTTATGTTTCTCATGTTTCATTTTTTTTTCATTATTCTATTCAGTCTAAAGAAAGTGTATTTTACCTGATACAGAGTGACTTTTGCCCATCGTGAGTGTTTTGTTAAATCATATCTTTATGTCAATGTGTACCAAACGTCATTCATCAAATAGGTAATGTTAAAATTAAACGTTTTGCTTAGAATGGGCACTTCAAGATCATGATTGTGACTTCAATTAAATTTTTCTTGAGTAATAGAGAGGTGTACAGTACATTCTTTAACTCTTTAAATTATTTGAAATTCAACATCCTTTGCTGTTTAAAGAGCTAGTTTCAGCTGAATTTGTCATATATATGAAATGAGATATCATACATTTATCTGCGTTAACTTTCCTTTGGACAGCAGCTACAATTAAAAGAAACACTTGTTGAAAGGGGTTTTTTTTATAGTAAAGCGTAGGGCTAGTAATTATTTGGGAAAGGACTAGTGACATACAAAATCCACGAGCCCGGATGGCCAGTTAAAATCTTTAGTGAGTGTCGATTCCTGTTGTTTTATAATAAAAATATTGCAGAAGAATGTTCTGGATTTTCTTTTTTCACTTTGAAAGAAGCTATACAATGCACAATGGTTACTAACATATACTGTGATTCAATTTGAAGCTAAAATAATATTACCAAGTGGACAGATCTCAAAAAACTGTTCTTTCACAATATATTGCAATACGTATCGCAATACAGAAGAGTGTATCGCAATATATCGCAATACGAAATTTCGGGCAAAGTATTTTATCCAAGCTGCCATCAAAAGCGGGACAATACCCTTCCTTCGTGTTTCCTGATAAGTCACGCACATGGGACATGACGCTCCTCCAACCGTGTCCCATCCCCACTGCTTCTTATCTGTGTACTTATCTGTCACTTTACAAAGATATAATAATGTGCACGCCCATATCTTGTTGTGGTTTGTGGACCTGTGCATAGAGCTCAGGTCACAAATCAGTTGAAGATAAGCAACGTTGCATGTGGAGAGTATTTGGATGGGTGACCGTGTGTGACAGCTTGACTCCTGACAGGTTCTATGACTTCAGTCCTGCCCCATAACAGAGTACATTTGGCCTCACCTTAGTCAAGTGAGTTTGTCATTAACCTTGTAGCTCCTCACAGACAACTTGGGTTATCAAGGGTAATAAAAATCAGATTGTGCGCTTTGAGCAGGATATGAAGTCTGGAAAAGCGCGTTATAAATATCATCACTAGTATATCTTATTACGCTGAAGGCAAGTGCTAAACAGTGACTGGGTGATTTGTGGATTTCACATTAGAGTGTCAGTTCCGTCACAAAATGGTATTTCTTAATTCATACAGCTACCGATACTGATAATGGTGCCGATAATGGTGTAGATACTAAGGCATGTACAGCAACCGAAACGTCAATTTTTCTGTTGCCATCAAAATTTCTCTGCGTGGAAACCTTGCTTTCCTAATGCCAGTTTTGATACTGTTTCACGGAAGTTGGTTAATTACAACAGACACTGAAATGTACACAATAGCAAGTACGCACGGCTAATAAAACATTTCATTTAAAACATCAACACTTGCGAAAACACAGCCTCAATATCAGCCGAAGCGGGCGCATAAGGCTTTCAAGACACCAGGTGTTTGTGGACAGTTTCAGCATGTTCTACGTTAGCACCATTATAGGAGGGGTACAGAAAGTCCGCAGTCTAGACTACCAGTTTGTGGATGTCACGGTGGCCGAGCGGGTTAGGCGGCTGACTTTAATATTTAATCTTAAACAACTTTGAATTGCCCGTAGCAGTCACAGTCATATTCATATATATTGCATATATGAAAACATTTCTTTGGACAGTCGAGAGCAATCTCCCTTTAAACACTAGCAATAACCAAAATAACACTATGGTTTGTATCAGCAGAAAAAAAGTTAAAATGATTTCTGCTTTTCGAATTCTGCTGGTTTCAGTTTTCGTAAAAACCATAAATCTTACCCGCTCCATTGAACAGAGTCTTCCACAGCGAGAACCACAATGAAAACTGCCAATACAAACGCTGCCATACTGAATGACCGCATGAGTGACTGGATCGAGACTATATACCCTCTAACAAGGAAGCACAATACCACTGTTTGTTATCCAAGTCCCGCCAAGTAGACTGTACAGAGAACTTGTACACCGTTCATGATTTGGGAATCCATAGATCTGCATTCGCATAACATCGGTAATTTCCGTAGATCATACGTGACTTAATTATTAAAAGTACAGAGTTACTAACACGAAGTACCAAATGAATTCCAACAGTTCCGCATTCCCAGCGGGTAACACAAAATGTTACTCGCTTCTAAGCAGGGTATACTGAAAATAATGGAAGAGCGCTGAGAAAAACGACGTTTAAGTGTGAGGTATGATAATAAAATGTGTTGTTACTGTGTGTAACATTGAAGCGTTGTGGTAGCAGCTTTGATCTTGGCCGCCATCAGTGGAATATTTTTCTCGTCGAGTGAGTGAGTGAGTTGAGTTTTACGCCGCACTCAGCAATATTCCAGCTATATAGTGGCGGTCTGTAAATAATCAAGTCTGGACCAGACAATCCAATGATCAACAGCATGAGCATTGATCTGCGCAACTGGGAACCGATGGCATGTGTCAACCAAGTCAGCGAGCCTGACCATCCGATCCCGTTGGTCAGAGCCAGTGAAGGGTGTCAAACACGGTAATCGTGCTAAAACATGCAGACATGGCTTTGTTTGTTTGATGTATAACACAGCACTCAGCAATATATTCCAGCTGCAGTCTGTAAATACTGGACTCCACGGCCAGTGATCAACATCAACCAAGTCAGCGATCCTGACCACCCGATCCCGTTAGTCGCCTCTTACGACAAGCATAGATTACTGAAAATCAATATTCTAACCCGGATCTTCACGGGTTTTTCACGTCGAGCATGTCTGGAAAAAATAATAATAGTCAACGCCCAAGGTATTCCACAGTTATCTAATAAGAGCCAGGGGTGACGGACACCACCTCAATGTCATTGTTGATTGGTACAAAATGACTGTCAACGAAGTGAAGTGTCCTGTCAAATCGGCACAGATTCACTTTGCATCAAACTTTGCAACGAGGTAATGTCCTCTATGTTGAGGGGCAGTGAGATAGCCTAGTGGTTATTGCGTTCGCTCGTCACACGGAAGACCCGGGTTCGATTCCCAACATGGGTACAATGTGTGAAGCACAGTTCTGGTGTCCCCAGCGTCATATTGCTGGAATATTGCTAAAGACGGTGTAAAACCATACTCACTCACTCACATATACACCGATTGGCTTCAACTCCCATACATTCATGTGTTTTATTAATTTGGGAAACTTGCCTCACAACTGTAAAATGTATAGGCGGAGTTCCGTGACGTAATCAATCACCTTTAGTCACAGACAGGACCGATAACTACTCGGGAACTTTCCGCTGAACGAGGATGTCGGTTCCCAAACAGGTGAGTAATATTATAGAATGCATATATATATTGGTAGAAACATTGAATAATTGAAATAAAATACAGGAAGTATCATATTAGTTCACTTTGATTTAGAGTTATCCGCCCATGTTATGTTTAACTGTTTACTTGATCTGGGTTTCAAGTTTCTGGTCAGTTATTAACTGAGATTTAAACTACTTCAACTTGTTTTTATTTCATATATACTATATATTAATTTGGGAAATGACTTCAAATGAGACAAATCAAGGAGATTGGTCACAATAGACTATCGCTATCGCAATAGTATGTTGCAATAGACTATCGCTATCGCAGTAGTTGCTTCCCCCTCAGTAGTCACCCATATATATTACAGGAATCTATATCGCACGGAGTTCAGTCAATGCCGTTCCAGTCCCGAAATTACGATGTGAGTGAGTGAGTGAGTTAAGTTTTAAGCAATCTTCCAGCAATATCACGGCGGAGGACACCAAATGGGCTTCACACACTGTGCGCATGTGGGGAAGTGAACATTGGCTTCCGGCGTGACGAGCGAACGCTTTTTCAACTGGACTAGCCCTACAATATAAATGTATTCTGAAAATCAGTTTATGTTTCTCAAGTGTATATGGACAGGGTGCAATGCAAATATATTTTATTAATTGAATTTAAAATTTAAAATGTCAATTTTTTTCGAAGTTAATTATCACTTGTTTTGGTGCAGGGATCGCACATCACCTGTCTCCATGAAAAATTGCCTTTTTGGAAAGTATTTTTATTCCTTCACAGAGTTTAGTTTGTTGTTTAACGCCGCACTCGGCAATATTCCAGCTGTATAGCGGCAAGTCTGGACCAGACAATCCAGTGATCAACGTCATGAGCATCGATCTATGCAATTGGGATACGATGTCAGCGAGCCTTACCAACCGATGCCGTTAGACGCCTCTTACGACAAGCATGGATTGCTGAAGACCAACTGTAACCTTCACGGACTAAGGAAAGCCCAAGGTGAAGCACGTTTTCCGCTTGGGAACAAAAACAACACGGGTGTGGTGCTATTATATAACTGGGGCAAATAAATTAAAAATATTGCATTGCAATATACTGCGATTCGGGTACCCTTCTTCCAATACGTATTTCGATATATTGTGAGCTTCATTTTTAGTCCGTGAGTGACACTGTACCTACAGAGCTTATTTTCTACATACTAAATCCCTAAAATATATGTTATGGTTGTGATAACCGGAATCTCGATTTTCTCTTTTATAAAATATATTGTATGTAACGTATGTTGTTTAGTCAATTAATTACAATGGAAAATTTCAGTGTGAATGAAAATCTATGTACATTTTAATTTAAACCAAAGAGATAATCACAAAATTTCAGGGTGGTGGGGTGGCCTCGTGGTTAAAGTGTTGTTTTGTTTGTTTTAAACATATATATTCATGAGAAAAGGATTGGGTACAACTTAGAACACCCTCTCCGTAAAGCGTTCACTCGTCACGCCGAAGACCTGGGTATGGGTACAATGTGTGAAGCCCATTTTAGGTGTCCCCCGCCGTGATAGTGATGGAATATTGCTAAAAGCGGCGTAAAACTCACTCACTCACAAAACCTCATCTAATTTTATCACCCAGTATACCAGTTCTGAGAAAAACCCATTGCAATACGTTTCGTTTGAATGACGTTGCAAAGTTTCTTCTGGTCGACAGTTTTTCATTGAAACACTGGTTTGCCTGGGCAAGACGGGACTGTGTAACTGGACCTTAAGCCAAAATGATGCAACAACTGCCGATATCAACATCAAGACAGTTCAAGCACTTGTTTACATATGCTTCTAGTGGCTTCAGCTGTCGGGGCGGTGGGGTAGCCTAGTTGTTAAAGCGTTCGCTCGTCACGCCGAAGGCCAGGGTTCGATTCCTTACATGGGTACAATGTGTGAAGCCCATTTCTGGTGTCCCCCGCCGTGATATTGCTGGAATATTGCTAAAAGCGGCACAAAACTAAACTCACTCACTCACTCACTCGAAAACTGTTATGTGCTTTATTTGGAAATTGTTTTTTTAGCTCAACACCTTTAGTCACAGAGCGGATACTCAAAAACTGTTTAACGGGTCAGCAGTTGTCAAATGTCCTTCCAACTACGGGTGGAACGTGGGATGATCAGCTGATAACCTCTTGTTTGAACATGTACTTTTGTTTTGACCTAAGAGACGTCTGTTATTTGTTAGATGAACGTTAGACCCGAACTGTTAACGGTTTCTTCCTCGCGATCTAGCTGTACGAATTCGAAGCAGATCAATCTAATAGACACCACGTGAAACGTACACGTAGACGTACGTTATTCCGATTGTGCCTATATTGGGTTATAATTGCATTTTAAACTGTACACTGTATGACTCAGTCTATAAGTTATCCCAGAAAGGGACGTTTGACAGATCTAAGCATAAAAAGTCAACGCCAGAGAATAACCAGTCTCGATTATCCTCAGATTCACAGATTCCAATCAGCTTATAAGACAGACTAATGGTGAATATAACTGGGTCACTGATAACCAGCTGTTCACCACAACCGATATGGGCGATAATACCGGTTAACCGGTATTTGCAATTCGAACTTCACAATCCGATATACTGAGGCACATTTTTCGCGAACCGGTTCACCGGATACGATCGCCAATTTCCGTGACCATGATTGGTAAATGTCGTGATGTAGTCACAAATGCCAATAACTTTTCTGTTTCCTTTATATTATCATACAGTAATAGTTTTGAGAATGTCAAACCAAAATGATGGACGCCGCTGCAAACGCTTTTTCTCGCGTTCCAAACTTTACAGAAAAAAGTCTTCAATTTGGAAACATTTTCAATTGATGTCTTTTACAATGCCATCGTAGTCCTGACAGTGACCAGTGGCATTGTTTCAAGAGAAAGGAAACAATCATTTCATTGCCTTAAACCACGTGTTACACTTTCACAATATATTGCAATACATACTACAATACGCCAAGACATACCACAATCTATCGCAAAACGAAACTTTTGGCAATACCCAACCCTACAACCAAATTGGGTGTTGGCTTCCTGTCCGACCGAAAGTACTCGTCATTCAATCAAGTAACAGTCAAGGACATCCCCAGACAATAGTGTCAGTAGGAAGCCAGAATCGTTGTTGGAGATCGAACGTTACTGTTGGTAATTACAAGTACGTTAGTGGTCGGGTTTTGAATGGCAGTTGCCTTGTAGAATGTTAACACATTTATCGACTCAGAAGTTACCTGTGACGATTTGGGTTAGAACTGGTCTTCAGCAACCCATGTTTGTGGTAAGAGGCGACTAACGGGTAAGTTGGTCAAGTTTGCTGATCATGACGGCCAAGGCACCATTTAGTCATATATTCATGTAGATTCCCTCTTTTGGCAGACTGCCTCATGACAGTATCTGTGTTTTGTAACCTTTAACGTAATTTCAAAAACAATTTGTTATGTCATACACGTGAAGATCTTGGAGCTGGTCTTCAGCAGCCCGACCACTGAGATCGGCTGGCTGACACATGTCATCGTATCCCTATTGCCATGCCACTGTATCCCTATTGCGTATATCAATGCTCATGATGTCAGTCACTGGATTGTCTAGTTCCGACTAGATTATTTTCATACGCCGCCATATAGCTGGAACATTGCTGGGCGCGGCATTAAACAATAGACCTCTGTGGTTCTGGTGCCACCTGTCTGATCTCGCCTCCAGCCAGGACAATCTACACTGATTTATTATACATATTTACCGAAATCTACACTGATTCATTATACATATTTACTGAAATCTACACTGATTCATTATACATATTTACTGAAATCTACACTGACTTATTATACATATTTACTGAAATCTACACTGATTCATTATACATAATTACTGAAATCTACACTGATTCATTATACATATTTACTGAAATCTACACTGATTCATTATACATACTTACTGAAATCTACACTGACTCATTATACATATTTACTGAAATCTAGACAGATTCATTGTACATATTTACTGAAATCTACATATTTACTGAAATCTACACTGATTCATTATACATATTTACTGAAATCTACACTGATTCGTTATAAATATTTACTGAAATCTACACTGATTCATTATACATACTTACTGAAATCTACACTGACTCATTATACATATTTACTGAAATCTAGACAGATTCATTGTACATATTTACTGAAATCTACATATTTACTGAAATCTACACTGATTCATTATACATACTTACTGAAATCTACACTGACTCATTATACATATTTACTGAAATCTAGACAGATTCATTGTACATATTTACTGAAATCTACATATTTACTGAAATCTACACTGATTCATTATACATATTTACTGAAATCTACACTGATTCGTTATAAATATTTACTGAAATCTACACTGATTCATTATACATACTTACTGAAATCTACACTGACTCATTATACATATTTACTGAAATCTAGACAGATTCATTGTACATATTTACTGAAATCTACATATTTACTGAAATCTACACTGATTCATTATACATATTTACTGAAATCAAGACAGATTCATACGATTACATGTGTCAACCAAGTCAGAGAACCTGACCACCCGGTCCCGTTAGTCGCCTCTTACGACAAGCACGGGCTGCTGAAGACCAATTCTAACCCGGATATTGACGGGTTGCAGAAATGAAACTCATCAGACTCGGGCCCCTGATCTTGTCTTAGTTTAAAAGAGTAAGAACTATAATATCTGATGACATCTTTATTCAACTATGTACGACACAAAATACAATATATTGCGTTGAATGTGTTCACATTAGTGTTGAAAAAAAACCCTCTCATACAAGATGAGCACTTTTGTAACACATTTTGTATTCAACGATAAACACTGACTGACAGACAGACAGACAGACGGAAGGGACTGACCATTGATGTTGCCCTTATTCAGATGGGAACAACACAAAATGAAATAATGGTAACTGAAAGACAGGTTATTGGGTATTTTCGTAGATCACATTTCATAAAGAATACAGACATAGACATGGGGGTGAGTTTAGTTTTACGCCGCTTTTAGCAATATTCCAACACTATCACGGTGGAGGACACCAGAAATGGGCTTCACACATTGTACCCCTGTGGGGAATCGAACCCGGATCTTCGGCGCAACGAGCAAAAGCTTTAACCATTAACTACAAGGCTACCCCACCGCCACTAGACAGACATTGACAGATGTAGGTAAATGGACGGAAGGACAGATCAATTATGCCATCTTTCTTTTCAGTTATCGCCTACAAATCAAATGCACTACACTGAATGATTAGTTACTAAGCATCTTCGTTCATTACATGAGGTAATATAGTCGAGATAAACAATAAACCAGAGATAACAAATGAATATATTGCAAGTGCTGTAATTATTCATACATAAGAAAACTGGATCAGTCTATCACTATAAACGAGAAATATAAATAATTGTTATAAAATATAGCAAAAGGAGCATTCTGTCAGAAAATGTGATTAAACTAATTTGTTCGTGCTTTCAGGAGATGCCAAAACCGAATTGCCATTAGAGTGAGTGAGTGAGTTTAGTTTTACGCCTCTTTTAGCAATATTCCAACATTATCACCGCGGGGAACACCAGAAATGGGTTTCACACATTGTACCCATGCGGGGAATCGAACCCGGGTCTTCGGTGTGAAACCACAAGGCTACCCCATCGCCCCAATTGCCATTAGCAAAATACTATTGAAATTACACATATCGACAGAAGTACACTTGATACATTTTAAATAAATGACAATATAAACTCTGTCAAAAAAGAAACGCAACCCCTGTATTTTAGAGATTTTGATCTGAAGTTTTAAGACGACACAGCATTTTTATTATTTAAGACAGAAGTCTGAAATTTGGCAGAATAATAACCAAGATGGGCATGTTTAAAATTGTCATTTCAAAAGTCATCTCACAGACACCAGTTTGTCACCAGGGGGGCGTCTTTCTCAGTATCTCGTATGAGCACCACGAGCTGCAATCACTGCACGGCATCTCCTTGGACAAGAACGGATAAGACGCCGGATTCTTTCCTGGGGAATGGCTCTCCACTCCTCCTGCAGTGCAACGCCGAGCTGTTGCAGCGTCTGTGGCGGCGGCTGACGTTGACGTACGCGTCGATCCAGAGTATCCACAGGTGTTCAATAGGGTTGAGGTCTGGTGATTTAGAGGGCTATGGCAAGACATTGACGTTGGAATTCTGCAGAAAGTTCATTGTTGCACGTGCAGTATGAGGCCGGGCGTTGTCTGGTTGAAAAATCTGTGTCTGTTGGTCAATAATCGGGAGAAGGTGAGGCTGTAATACGTGGTTGATGTAACGTTGGGCTGTCAGGTTCCTTCAACGATCACCAAGTCTGATTTCTGGTTGTATGAGATGGATCCCCAAACCATAACGCTTTCTCCGCCAAATCTGTCCCCTGTCGGACGCAGATGGGCGCAAAACGTTCATGACGTCTCCTATACACACGTTTTCTTCCGTCGTGATGTTGCAAAGAAAACGGATTCATCAGAAAACCAGATGCGCCTCCAGTTTTGTAAAGTCCATATCCTTACGTTGTTGCACCACCTGAGTCGTCGGCGGAGATGTAGGGGCGTAGTACAGGTCCAACAACTGGTCTACAGGCACGTAAACCCGCTTCTTTCAGACGGTTCCTAATCGTTTGAGCTGACACTCTCCTCAAACCTGGTATTTGTGTGGCAGTCACGGTTGGTAGGGCATGCCGATTACGCAGGTGATGGACCCGGATGTACCGATCTTGAAGGGGGGTCGTGATTCTTGGCCTTCCACTTCTCGGGCGATCGTTGTTCAAATTGAAGTTGTTGTAGCGGCTCCAAAGTCGGGATATCGTTGTTTTGTGAACATTTAGGTGCCGTGCAACAGTTCCAAAACTTTCTCCGGCTTGAACACGACCAATGGCGATATTTCGGTCGGCAGCACTCAATCGTGGCATTTTTCACACAGCTTTTCATGCGACAAATGAATGAATATAATACGAAAGCACATGGGCTTTTATACACCCCTACATTAACTGCCATTTTCATGATTTGCATGTGGTTTTTTTGTGCGAAGTCACCATGAGGGTCATTTCATGCGTTGTGACGGAATAAGCAATAAAATACACTTATGCGTACAAATGCAGTTGTTTGGATGGTAATCTTCATTAATTACGTGTATAATTTCAATACATTCGAATAACATTTAGTTTGGAAGCAATAACTTCATTCAAACGAATTTTTCATATCTGAGGACAGGGGTTGCGTTTCTTTTTTGACAGAGTTTATTTTACCAGAACGACTATTCAATATGGCTGACGTGGCGGACATGTTTAATATGACATTAAAAATAATAAGTGTTGAAACGTTCCAGAGATTATATATGTATGTTGAATTATGAAGTATACAAGTAATACCGAAACATTAAGTACGCAGAATTCAGGTACAGTTGTTGCCATACTATTGTTATTTTCATATGTGTGTGTCAACGAAGATCTATGCCCTCCGTGAAAACAAAAGACATATAAAACATATATATGACTTGATTCTGTTACAGCCAGATGCGTGTGATGATGTTGCTGGATATTAATGATACCAAACAGGTGATTTATATTAGGATGCTTTGAACAGAATTTCAGTTCAGTAGTTAAGCTTTCAGGAAAGACCTTAGTAAATGGTCATGGAGAATCGAACCCACGATCAGATCCTGACACGGAAAAGGGAGGTAAGTTACATTTCTATCTAGTAATGATCGTGTGTATGTGCATAGGTGATACATATTTCGTAAAAACATAAAACATGGAACAGGCGTTAATATTTGAGCAATTTGTTATATCAAAGGGGAATTTGGACTAATCAGTATAAAAATGGTTGATAAAGAAATTGAGCATTTTGGAATATTTTGATGACAAGTGTTATTGTATCACGGTTTAATCTTGCGTGCTTGTTGTTTACATTTTGGCCAAACAGTTGGGTTCCTGTTCCATATGTGGAAATGCTGAAAGAAATTCAACAGACTGAAACTAAAATGACGTAAAATTACTGTAAATAAAATATAAGTAATACTATCTTAATTACTAATACATTTGTGGAAAATGGAAAAATAGAAAAGATCATTCTGTTCTCCAAATGGATACAAGCATTGTTTGCGAACGAAACACTGTAGTCAAAACGCTGCCCAAGAGGTCGACTATTTCGAGTAGTAATACATCATTCCGGAAGTGGGTCTCAGACCGAATGAGGCCTCCAGTTTCCCCCACTGCATCCGCGAAAGTAGTCCGGGCCTCTGGTTTCTCTTTCCAGCAGCTTTGCATCAGACTGTAGTGGCTGGATAAAATAAACACGAGACATTTTGCTTTTGTTATACAATAATTACCTAATTATTTTACATGATTTACAGAGCACCGTTCACAATGTATTCTAAGCGCTACTCTCGTAAAACTTTCTTTGAGATTCAGAATAGTCGCTCAGATTGCTTTGTGAAGCAGGGTCCATATCTTCTGGGTATTCTGACGCTTTTTTTTATTCATTTATTACATTGCTTCACGCCTATTACGTAGCACACGCGCACGTGCGCACACACACGCACATACGCACACACACGAGTGTACTTCAGATTTCGTAAGTCAATTAATGATTATACGATTAGCCTGTTATCGGCCTGAATCGCTCTTCATGCATTCGACCACTGCTTATTTGACCCTGACCCGACTATAACAGGTGGTCATGCTAACGCTAAACGCTTTAAGCCACTTTTTTAAAATTGTCATTAATCGCCCTGGTCACGAAGTACCGTATGAAACATCACTGGTGTTAGTATACATGCATCTAACCACTTACACGTCTTCAGCGTATTCCGGCTTCGAGAGTCTGTAACCATTCTTAAGCTGGGTCGGCAGGTCTCGGCTCCTCATTTCACCGTAAGGGATCTGGCCTGTTGAGAGATAAAACACAGGGTGTATACTAAAACTACCTCCATGAGCTCATACGTGAAGATCCGGGCTAGAAATGGTCTTCAGCACCTTATGCTTGTCGTAAGACGCAACTAACGGGAGCAAGTGATCAAACTCGCTTGCTTGGTTGACTGTCTGGCTCAGATGCGATTATTTATATGCCTCGCATAGGTAGCGTATTGGCAGCGTTAAACATCAGACAAAAAATTCCCACATACACAAAAAATAATAGAAACCATATTCTCAAATACTTCTATTTAGTGACGAAAACTATACCAAACAATATCTATACCTTACCAATTCAGAATATCATTGATATTAATCAAGAATTGTTACAACAACGTAACACAAAAATGCCTTAGTTCACATTCACATACACATCCATCACAATCTACGTCCACGTTCTCACAGACATACATGTATACCTAGGTACTTAACTAATTAAATTAAACATTTCAATGCACTTCCAAGAATATATTTGTCACACCTACCCATGCTGAGGATTTCCCACATAGTCACCCCAAAGGACCAGATGTCACTCTTCTCATTGGCTCCCTTCAGAGATTGAAGACATTCTGGCGCCGTCCACTTCACAGGGATTCGATCCTGTGTGTATGTGTAACATATCAACACTCAGGGTTTATGCCATTTTGATAAAACTACTTATCATGGTTACAACTGACATTAGGCTTATTTGAAGGGCCGAATGGGCAATCTATGTTCCTTTACTGTTTATGTGTCAATGAGCCCGGATTTACCGTTGGTCTACAACTGATTTGCCTTGGCAATGTTCCACAAGCATAACGTCTGCTGTAAGCCTTTGTTAAAATATGAAGCTTCCGTATTTCTTTGCGTTACAGTTGTTTATGAAAAGAGGGCCCTGTTCAGACCCGATTGCTGGCCGCAAGATATATGTTACATATTTCCCTTCTTACCCCTTTGGAGGCATCATCCGCACTGGCGTCTTCCATGCGACTTGGTCCGAATCCACTGACCTTCACTTCATTTGTGCTTGTCAAGAGGCAGTTGCGAGCAGCCAGTTTGCGATGGACAACCTGGAGAAGGACATTGTATTGAGCTAAACTGGTACAGTCTTTGTTTTCCATGAGAACAGGACATATCGCTACATGTGTCCCATTCTTGGTCCTCATCAAACCATGATTGTCGTAATAGGTAACTATCGCGATCGGGTGGTCAGGGTCTCTTATTTGGTTGACACATGTCATCGTGTCCCAATTGGGTATATTGATGCTCATGATGTCAATCACTGGATTGCATGGTCCAGACTCGATTATTAAGAGACCGGTGGCCTATAGATGATTATTGCTGAATGCGGCGTTAAACAACAAACAAACAAACAAACTAACAAAAACACTCAAGTCAAGACTTAATGTACCTTTGTAACAAAATTTTTATACCTTGAATATACTTGTTTTTCAAACATAAGATTACGAACAAAAACGTTTACCGTCTCACATTTTTTAAAATATATGGACCAAAATAACGAGTAAACAATAAAAAGAAAGCCCACCCAACCAATGCCTAAGGGAACCAACCAACTTTTTCCTAACTCCACCTCCTGAAAGTCAATACATGCACTTTACACTTGCCACAACACAGAGAGTGTCCAGTAAATACATACCTCTTTACTAACGAGATACTCCATACCCCGAGCAATGCCTAAGACAAATGTCTGAATCTGCTCCAGAACTTCAAGATTCACTTTGTCCTGTCTAGAGGTCAGCCACTTGTCCAGCGGACCATTTTCACAGTACTCCAACACCAACACCGGCCCCACTGAAGAAGAAGGTATATATCAGATATGGCAATGACAGGTTCTACAAGATCACACGTATTCAGGGGATGTGTGCGCTGGAACGGAGGAAGCAAAAAATATATTTTGTTAACACATTTCTTTTCATGATATCGAGCAACCTAATCTTCTGAGTAAACACCATGAGGGCAATTCATACTTTCCATTGTTTTCTCTCCAAACAACCAAGATCCTGGTTTCAGACCAGAAACAGAGTGTTAAAGTGTGGTAATATTAAGATGACTGAAAAAGACGCCAGAGGTAGCCGTAGTCATGATATTGGCAAGGAGGTTCAGGATCTTACATCCTGCATTTCCTACGTGAGTAGTGAATGAGTGTGGTTTTACGCCGCTTTTTGCAATATTCCAGCAATATCAGAAGGTGAACGCAAGAAATGGGCATCACTTACACGCATCATTATCAACGACTGCGCCGATGAATTTCAGCACGTTGGAATGTTCCCCGACCCTTGTTGCAGCGAAGTTGATTTTGGCCATCATCAGTAAATTACTATCCTCGTCAGGCGTGCCTGCAAATAATATATGATAACAATAATAACAACAACAATAAGTTCAGATTTTAATGGCTTGGCTGCATCGACTTGAGAATAAGTTGAGAAGTTGTAGTGCGTTGAGAAGAACAGGAAGTCGCTTGGCCTGAAAAGTGAAACAGAAGGCTTTCTCTGTGCTGCTCAGGTCCAGTACTTTCCACTCGATGCTGTGTGTGTTTTTGTATCAGATTGTAAATTATGCAATGAAGTTCATGAGACTGACCAGCACCTTGTCAGTGGATACCCATCACTGGCATTAAGACAGTATCTTAAGCGACATGATGGTTTGGTTGATGAGTGAGTGGGTGAGTTTAGTTTGACACTGCACTCAGCAATATTCCAACTATATGGCGGCTGTCTGTAAATAAGTCGGATCCAGTGATCAACATCATGAGCACCGTTTTACGCAATTAGGATCAGCGAGCCTGACCACCCGATCCCGTTAGTCGCCAACTAGTAGCAATATTCCAGAAACATCACGGCGGCGGACACCAGAAATGGGCTTCACCCATTGTACACATGTGGGGAATCGAACCCGCGACTTCAGCGTGACGAACGAACGCTTTAACCACTAGACTAATCCATCGCCCCTCCAGCTTCAAGAACGATGGTGTAAAGGATAATAGTTCTCAAATGTACCGTGTTGCACCCGAAACTACACTTAGGTATATATATTATCAAGAGAGCAATTTCTTTCAGAGGGTTACCTTTGAGGACCTTTGCCGCCGCCTCGTGTGACTTTTTGCCAGTCTTGTAAGAAGCCTTGAAAATTCGTGCAAATCTTCCAGTTTGAATCTCCTCCAGTAGTGACAGCTGATCTTTCGACATGTACCCTGGCTGCTTCGCAGTGAAGCTCATGCCGCCGTAGACGTAGATGTCATCTTCAGGTGTGTACGTCATGTTCTGGAATAAACAGTGCACACACTGGGTGAAAGAATGATATAATCTGGGAATGCTGCGCAGGCGTGAGCACTATTCCAGCTACATCCCGAAGCAAAGCATTACGATACCATATAAACAGTGACTGAAAGCATGAGTGAGTGAGTTTAGTCTTACGCCTCTTTTAGCAATATTCAAGCAATATCACGGCGGGGACACCAGAAATGGACTTCAGACAATGTACCCATGTAGGGAATCGAACCCGGCTCTTCGTTGTGACGAGCCAACGCTTTAACCACTAGGCTATCCCACTGCCCCCTGAAAGCATGAGCACCCGGGAGGTTCCACGCCCTCGCTTCGCTGTCTCACTGCATCGCACAGTAAAACACGAATGTTTGAGCCTTGTGAAGACCAAAATGAGTTGTACGAGTTTGATGGTTTCTCTGTCTGTGGGAGCGATTGGAATACAACGGCGCTGTCTGTCGATAGTCAGCTCACGTTGGTCTGTAAATAATCGAGTCTGGGCCAGACAATCCCATGATCAACATCATGAGCATCGATCTACGCAACTGGGATATGATGACATGTGTCAAACAAGTCAGCGAGTCTGACCACCCAATCCCTTTAGTCGCCTCTTACTACAAGCATGGGCTACTGAAGATCAATTCTAACCCGGATCTTCACGGGTCCAGGACAGGTAATACGCAACGCCATAATACCCAATAGAGTTGCCTCGACCACTCACTAACTCAATACAAAAAAACATATTTATCAGCTTGTCCCCTCATATACATCTATGACATTATTACACTGTTGCACAGCATGCGTGATTACCGATACCTACGTCGTAACACGCTGTGTTCTTTGGAGGGCGAATGTTATTGGTCGTCCTTCCTGTCGCGGGAGCCTCGGGTTCACCATATCTCTTCTGGCGTCCTCTGATCAGTTTCTGCATTCTTCCAGTCCTCCACAAAAAGAATCCGACTCCAGCAACTGCCAGCACTATCAGGATTACTAGCAAGAGACCAGAATTGATCATAATGAGGGTATCAGACTAGAAAATATATCGTTTGTTAGTTTGTTTGTTTGTTTGTTTGTTGCTGCACTCCGTTCTCAGCAATAATACAACTATATGGCTGCGGTCTGTACATAATCGAGTGAGTGAGTGAGTGAGTGTGTGAGTGAGAATTGCTCAGAACCGTTTATTCCGGCAGTGTCCAGGAGACACCAGAAATGGATTTCTATATCTGTACACATGTGGGGAATCAAACCCAGGTCTTCTTCGTGATCAATGGCAGCGTTTAGTCCTGCATATGAAACTTGCACCTACATTAACTGTAATTCCGAAGCATGTTTGTTGTTTAACACTGAACTCAACTATTTTGATGTTTAACATGTAACTAATCTGGACCACACAATCCAGTGATTGATATCATGAGCATCCATCTACTCAACTGGGATACTTGTGTCCACCAAGTCCGAGAGCCTGCCCCACCCCATCCAATTAGCCGTCTCTTACTACATTGTTTGCTGAAGACCAAATCTAACCCGGATCTCCACGGGTCTCAATTACATCGATGATATTTGGCAAATTGTTTATTTGATCGATCGATATGTGCATGAGTGGCGATATCATGTGTGAAAATATCAACTTTATCACAGAACCAAAATGGGAATCGAACCAAAGGCCAGATCTCCAAAAATCATACATCATTGTATAATTTACTGTAACATGAAAATATTTGATCATGTTCCTAACCACAAGCATATTGATTTTAAAGTACATTAAACCACTTTTCAAGATAAACAATCACAGTTTGATCCCAATCGGGGTCAATGAAATAGAAAGTTTGTAAAAGACATTTACCTGTGCGTATAGAACTAGTTACAATATTAAACACGATTCGAATTATAAACTATGTGGCATGTTTGAATCCAATTTCATATCAGTGTCCACAAGGTAATTAACACCAATACACCTGGATTCTTAAAGATGGTAGTTTTGGCCATCTGGCAAACCGAGAATGCAAAATATGAACACGCAGTTTGCAGATGAGTGTGTGAGTGAGTGAGTTAAGATTTAAAGTCACATCGGCAATATTTCAGCCATATCGTGACTATGATGAGTATGTACATGCATATAAGACGAAAGTATTTGTCAGTTTTATTGTTGATAAGACCCCATTCAACATATGCAACAGCGGCCTGTAAGAAGCAGGACGAGACAAACCAGTGAATGATATTATAAGCATCGGGTGTGGGGTCACGTCATCAACCAGATCACCAGGCTCTGACTGGCTGATACATGTATTCGTGTGAGTTTAGTTTCACGGCTCTTTAGCAATATTCCAGCAATATCACGGCGGGAGACACAAGTAATGGGCTTCACACATCATGTACATGTAGGGAATCGAACCCGGGTCTTCGTGACGAGCGAACGCTTTAAAGCCTCTAAGCTACCCCACCGTCCCAATTTACATGTAATCACCATCTAAAAGGATGCATGAAGGTTGGACCATGAATCCATCCAGGTGAATATGACCAACGAGAAATTCCTTTCTACTCACTTATAATGATTCCAGCTACAGCCCCCGCGCCTAGAGTTTCAGCAGTCGTGTCGTCCGCCGCTGGAAGTCAAGCAGATATGAACGTAATTACTACTTTGAGTTAAGAAGTGCTTAAGGGCTCCAGAACTCCTTGATTGTGGAATCGACTTTTTGATTCGCTCTAAAGTGATCACGAGTCTTTCCGCATTTATGCTCTTGTCTAAACTCTCAGTTTTTGAAATGTGATCGTCATTGTGTTACATGACATATCGCATGAAAGTCAAAGAGTTCCAATATGTTTGTTATAGCACAGGCATTGTCATAAAATACTGTTGATATACCCTCTCAGAGTGTCGCCTAAGTTACTGTTTGAACTTTTATGAGTCAAAACTTTCTTTTATGTGTTATGAGGGATATGTTTTGTTAATTATTTCGCATTGATTAACTTTTAGTCTCAAAGTATAAACCGCTGAGTGTGGATTAGAACTCGCATCTTAAACTTACGCTATGTAATTTCACCTGTTATGCTTAAGTTAGAGTTACCTTCCCTATGTTTCCCTTTGTTTTCGGTAGGATGCTGTAAGCTATGAGGGGATTCCAGTAATTTCTAAATGATCATAGTATGGCATGGTGTTTGCTAGAATTCTCCGAAACTGTTAATAGGTATATAAGGGATTGTTGATGAGATGTACGGGACTACTGCTTTGGACTTACGCTCATCTGTCTGCTAACAGCAACATTTCAAGACCCCCACTAAAGAGGCCTCGACTACATTGAACTTTCGCAACTGTCAACAATCTTCAATCAATGCATCTGTATTTTACTGGACCTAATATTTTAGATTTGTGATCCAGTAGTATTGTATTATATATCTGTACTGTCATTCATTGTAACATTGTATATAACTGAGCATAATACACTTGTTTGTATTCTATTTTGCTTGTTTAAAGAGGACTCACGAGCAGTTTAAAGAGGACTCACGAGCATTTTATCTCAGTAATTCGTAAACCGTAACATATGCAACTTCAGGACATTCTTAGAATATTTTTTATGAAAAACGGACACTAAGTCAAACAATTATGCTTGTACTTACCTATGGCTAAGACTGTCTCTTTACTGCGTTGTGCCCCGTAGCCTGCTGACACCATAACCTTGTATTTTTTGTTGGGTTCAAGGCCAGTGAGGTTATATGATGTGTCATCTTTGGGCACGGAGACCTCATAGACCTGCCCTGAATCCGTCTGGTAGCTGATTATTATGACTGTGCGTTCGTGGCAAGCAGGGGCGTGGTCCCACATAACACGGATAGATGTTGAAGACAATCGTTTGGTTCTCAGGTTTGAGGGTGGCAAGTCTGGTGAAAGATCAAATCAGTTCTGAAACAGCTTGACTGAGAGATCAAGTTTTGCCTCAATTTACAAAACGATTTATTAAGCACTTCAAATCAGCCTATACCAAATTTATGAAGATGGGCATTCTCTTTCCATTGAGGTTATTTGTCATATCTTCCTACGAATCTCTGTTCTAATACGGTCCTTTCATGGTGCGAGTGTTCAGGATTCGTGATTGGTTGCAATCAGCTTTAGTTGTGCAGTCAGCGACGTTGTTTCATAAGTGATCATTCGCAAGGCCTCGGTAACTTCCGTAGGCTTCGGGAAAACTAGAACCTCTTCCCCTGCGCGATGCGCAAACGTTTCTTAAAGACAGAACTCAATCATGTAAATGGCGGATCAATGGCGTCTCCATCGTCTTCGATGACAACGTACAAGCTTGCCATTAAATGTCTTGTGTTTCACATCAACACAAGTCCCCGTCTGAGGAGGGATATGTATGGCCCCACATTTGCTTCTACTAATCAAGTTGGATCTAAGTCGATGTAACACGTGTTCTGATTGGATAGAAAGAAGGGAGATAATTCGTACTGCGATGTTTTGCCGCTAGTGGATTTTACGAGAACCGGGAAACATGGCCCTATTAGAACAGAGGTTCGTAGAAAGACATGACGAGTAACCTCTGTTGGAAGAGAATGGAAGACGGGGTGCACGTGGGCAATACAATGATTTAATATTATTATATATTACAATCTTTTAGCAAGATATATATTGGGATTAGGGAGTAGAATTTAGCATTTTTCACTACTTACAGGTCGTGGTGCCGTTTAGTTCCAACAGGTTCGTCACCTATGAACAGAAATTGTCAAAATAATAACAACAGTTTGGAATACGAGTGATTTCGTTGGTATATAACTCAATGGATATTGTATATCAATTCGGTATTGTTGTTGTTGCTGTAAAGGGAGATAACTGATTATAAAAATCCAGTTACCAGGTTTACCGAAATTTCTCTGCTCCATCGTAGCGCCACCAGAAGAAATTACGAGTTATGTCCCTTTCGTCAAAGGACAGTAAAACAACAAGAACATCACAATTAGAAGAAAACCTGGCCTGGTAGTTAAAACTATTAGCACTATTTGGACAATACAATATGAAAACAGGCTATAGATCGCCAACAACTGAAGGTAGATCACCATACTTGGGACCATGGGGACTTACAGTACCTTTGTTACCTGCATGGACCCTAGTTGGATTAACACCATCCCTTCAGCTGCTGGCGAGTTTAAGAAATGTTAGCCAAAATTAAAATAGCAAGAATACTACGTTTAATAATCCTGGTAAGTTTAAATTGACTGTGAAAATTTTGGGACTTGCGTACCCTCTCAGGAGGACAATAATGTTACAATACTTTAAACCCCCTTGAGGGTACAGCCACTAACAATTATTAATTTAAACTTCCAATCATAAAATATTTATCTATTTACAAATCAGCTAACAGATCTATTCTTTTAAAAATGCAATAATTAAATGATAACCTATATTATTAAAACGATCCTTCATAGTTCGTGATTTGAAAAAGATATCCCTTGTGATGGAATATTCAATAGAGTCAAGCAGGACATGCTTCACCGTGATTTTTCATCACAAGGGATACAAAACGGAGCATCCTCACCTTTCAATAGGTACTCATGAGTAGATCTTGTGTGGCCAATACGACATCGTCGTATGGTGACCTCTTCAAATCTGGACTGACAACCCAAGTAGGTGCAACCGATATAGGGTTTTATGTCATGTAATTTATTGATTTATTTGCTTCGACTGTGAAAATAGAACTATCGCCCGGTAATCTAGAAGATATTGTTCTGGATCCAATGACAGTGGCACAAGCCACTGCACCACTATCCTTGGACCCATCTGTAAATAAGGACTATGTATATCTATAATACTATAATATGTATTATATTTAGTTTTTAATTGATTAAATTCTTGTTTATATTGTAATTCATTAGTTTCAGATTTTTTAAAGGTTGTCAGTGTTAGGTCAACTTGTGGCCTAACCGATTGTCAAGGAGGAGAAGAAAGAAGACGGGAAGGAGCTATATTTTCCAGCTCAATGCCGGCAGCAGACAAGAGAAGATTTTTTGTCGTATAAATCCTCATGGAGGGGATTGAAGATACAATTATATGCAGGGTTAGACCTGTTGGAATATATTTTTGTAATATATTGTTAAGGAAATTATATACGGCGTTGTGTAAGAGATAGCAGATCAGCTTCGACATAGAGACCATCAATAGGAAAGGTTCTAAAGGACCAAAGACAGACCTTGGTGGTGGACATCATCTAATAGTTTGAGGTTGCTGTTACAGGCTCCACCATATACACTGGAGCCATTATCATGCTTGGTGCGGACCAGTGATCTATATGGGTGAAGGAGGGTAGCTTGATCCCCTCTCCACTTTGAATTAGAAACGACTTTCAATAATTCGAGTGCTTTCAGGCATTTAGAGATTAAGAGATGTTGGTTGGTAAAAGCTAAAACGTAATTCCGAAATTCCAGTCTACTTCGTCTTGTATGGGAACTTGACATTTAAAGTTATTTACGTCCCGTCTCTCAAGACATTTAAAATGAGTTACCTCCCTTCTCTCGAGACTATCAGTTCACCTTCTCTCGAGTTTCTTGAAGTCAGTTACTTCCTTTCCTTCGCGACATTTTAAAGTCAGTTACCTCCCTTCCCTCAGGACTTTTAAAGTCTGTTAGGTCCCTTCTCGCGAGACATTTAAAGTCAGTTACCTCCCTTCCCTCGCGACTTTTAAAGTCAGTTACCTCCCTTCCCTCGAGACTTTTAAAGTCAGTTACGTCCATTCTCTCGAGACTTTTATAGTCTGTTAGGTCCCTTCTCTCGCGAAGATGCTGGTTATTTACAGATCACTATGGAAAAATAAGATATTGCTGACTGGCGTATAAATAACACCCGTGTAATTCTCGAAGAGACCCGTGAAGGTCCGGGTTAGCATATTGATCTTCAGTAACATGCTTGTCCTAAGAGGCGACTAAGGCTCGCTGACTTGGTGGACACATGTCATCGGTTCCCAATTGCGCAGATCGATGCTCCTGCTGTTGATCACTAGCTTGTCTGGTCCAGACTCGATTATTTACAGACCGCCGCCATACAGCTGGAATATTGCTGAGTGCGGCGTAAAGCTAAACTCACTCACTCACTCCCAAAGAATGCCAATTTCGAGTAACGTCGTATAGTTACTCACCACTTCTTCCTCATATGTGGAGCTCTTCAGCCCCGCCCTGTTGACAACGCGCACCTGCAGCCGAACCTGGGCAGTCGCTAGGGCGTTCTTGGCCACCGTCAGCCAGCAGTTGCTGATGTAGACTTTGTTGATCCGTTTGTAACACACGCTCAGGGCGTTGGGGCAGTAGCAGTCGTGTACCCTGTCTGTACAGTAAAGCGGCTGAAATCATAACATCATGTTGTAGTCAGTCCCATGTATCCCCATGCCTATCAGACTAATGTATGCCATTAATTGGTCTTCAGCAGCCCATTCTTGTCTTTGAGACATGTTCGGAGTGTTCATCCCCACGGGAATATTCACGCAGGAATGATATTGATTCCAGTGGTGTGACCCGTCGTCAGAGGCGACTAACGGGATCGGATGGTCAGGTTCGCTGACATGGAAACATGTCATCATATCCCAATTGCGTAGATCGATGCTCATGATGTTGACTTAAAGACCGCTGCAATACACCTGGATTATCGCTGAGTGCGGCATTAAACAACAAATAAACAAAACAAAACAAAAGTTATGTCATTATTAATGATATTTTCGTCTTGGAAATACTAATAAAACTTTTAACAAAATCATCTTGGCATTACCATTTTGCACTTTAGACAATGACACAGAAACGTATGACTCACGTGGATAGATGGAATGGATACATTCTTTGCCCTGAGTAGGTCGCCATCTTCTGTATTGAAGACCTTGACCTCAACAATGGTCGAGTCCACTCTCTGCATCGTGTGCGGTCACCGTTAAACTAAGACCAGGAACAGAGAATTAAATAGTTCATTAGAAATTAGATATATCGTTATGGAAAGTAAAAACATATGTATTACCGTGTTACTATATGGTTGTTGTTTGACGCCATACTCAGCTATATCACTTCAGTCTGTAAATAATCGAGTCTGGACCAGATAATCCAGTGATCAACATCATGAGCCTATATCTACGCAATTGGGATACGATGACATGTGTCAACCAAGTCAGCGAGCCTGACCACCCGATCGCCTTAGTCGCCTCTAACGACAAGCATTGGCCACACCCCTAGAATCAATATCATTTCAATGTGGATGTTCTGGTGGGAATCCACATTGGAATTCATTCCGAACATTATACTGTTGGTCTTAACGTGTTGGGTGATCGCGTGTCATCGTAAGACGAAGCACATTGTTTCTTCTTTCAGTCATTGGTTTGTCAGTCACGGAATCGATTATAGTACATTTAGACAACTGTGAACAACAAACAGACAAAGAGGGACCATGATGCACGCTCTGGTGCCCATTTCCCCTTAGATTTAGTAGCTCGTTGCATGTGTGAAACAGACGTGTTTCGCAATAAGAATACAAATTATCATAAAAACATCAGTTGATTTCATGACGAAAAACACGGGCCAAGAAACAGAAATCAACACAGAATAGTTGTACAAAAACAACGAGTAATTAGTGATAACAAGCCAGTTACAGTTTTGACAAGAAAGTCCTATAATATCTGACGAAATTAAGCTTATACTATTTGAAGATTTAAATTAATTAAATAAATAAATATGGAAACAATACATTTTGAATGAACAAGTGAACAATATTTTTCATTTAAAAATGCTCAACATAGGGTTACTCTGCAGTCAGGCCAATTTACAATCTCCTTTTCTTACCCGGAACTGAAGGGAATGTTGGATTTTTCATTTTTGTTGAATGTCATCACACTGTACTCTGGTTCGGTGAAGTCGTAGGTTACACTTGTCGAGTCCACTTTCCTGTTGTAAAGGATGTCCCAGGCTCTTACCCACACAGTAACGGTGGTTCCGCTTGTAACACCAGCTGAAGGGTCGAGAACACGTAGTGATAAGGTAAACGTGTCGAGAATATGCATAATGTGTAAAGAAATTTCCTGCTGAACCTTATTCTTTCATCAACGAAATGAAGCTCATAACTTTTTGTTGTATTTTTGTCATGAAATCCGAAAGGGAACATTTTGTTTCTGTTTAATGAATTGTGTTATTATCTCTATATTCTATGTCCGATTCCGTGTGTCCACATACACTGGACACTGCTAACTCGGACAACCTATGGCCTCCTTACATGTCCTCAACTACTTTCAGTCATACAATTAAAAACAAAACAAAAAATGGGTCATTTTTCGTCAGAAAACAGGTTGATGTTCTGTCGTGCCGAGACAAAGTTATTTTATCAGTGTCAGCTTAAACAAAAAAATTACACTTGACGCAAAAGTGAAAATATTCTGTTTTGAAGTTCACAAACAATAACATTACAGAATACTACCAACCAACTGTTGTTTGGTTTGTTGTGTTCAGACAGGAGATATCATTCCAATTTACTGGTGTGTGAAGCGCTCTGCCTCCACTCTTGTTGACGGCATGCGTCCACTCAAACCTCACAATGCCCCGTACATTGGGGATAGCCGCTGTAGTTCTTCTTCCATAATGATCATCATTTGTATGAGGTACTTCCTTGTAGATTGGTGGGTCTTCTACAACCTTCACACGGAAGGGGAGGATGCTGTTCAGGAATTTACCACTTTCATGGACGTAGTTCAGAAAATGATCTTGCCAGTTAATGACTAGTGGCGTGGAAGCATCGGTCATCCACTGGAAGCCATTGTCTTGCACAGCTGACGGTATGTACAGGGCATTGGCTGGATCCGTGGTCACTGCCGACTCCTTGTCATACAGTGCAAACCTTCTCATGTATACAGAGTTATTGGCCTTGTCGGCAGCTTCAAGGACAAAAGAATACATCCCTGGTGTGGCTGGGACATAGGGAAGAGCATAGGAGATTGGATCGGTATGGTCAACTTCTCTGTGAACAACAGGTCTCAGTTTGTCTACTTCCGTCAAGCTTCCGTTCTGACTTGGTTCAAGTTTGAATGCTTCCCATGTGTACTTGTCCATTCCAGATTTAGTGTCGGTCCAACCCTCCCACTTCATGACGATTGGTTGCTATGTAATGTAAAGACTGATTTTTTTTTCTTTATCCGAGGAGGTTGAGAAAATTGTCATCAAACTTCTCCTCCGAAACTGGATAATAGGAAATAATGCTCGCCACTCTCGTAATTTCACAATTTACAATTATCAGAGTGAATGATAATGAAACTTTCTGTTGTCAAGTCAAGTAATTGGAATCTGAATGAAATTGCACTTTGTGTAACAGTCATTTCTATCTACTTAATACTATGTACTCTTCAACAAAGGTTAATACAGTTGATTTTTTGTGTCAGCGTTTGACAATTATGTCGCAATTATAACTTTTGCAATGCCACAATGTCGAGTGAGACGGCCACCATCGAAATGATGACATCGTAAGCAGTGAAGATCAGAGTTTGAATTGATCTTCAAGTAACCCAGGCTTGTCGTAAGAGGGGACTAACGGGATCGGGTGGTTCGCTCACTTGGCTGGCACATGCCATCGTATCCCAATAGCTAAGATCGATTCTCATGTTGCTGATCACTAGATTGTCTGGTGCAGCCTGGATTTATTTAAAGACCACCGGCATATAACTAGAATATTGCTGAGAGCACTATGCGTCTGTTTGTGATCATGAGTAGATTCGAAACATCAGTAGTACATTGTAACTTCTTCAGTGTCATACAATCTCCCCAATTTAGATCCAACATTTTAAAATACATTTCAATGCCAACAGTTTTATCGTTTCAGTGTATATTTGACTTTGTAATCGTCATACTATACCCATACCAATATGTTTTTGTTGGAAATATACCTGAGATGTCTCCTCATACAAACTATGAAGCTAAGAGTATGGTAAACGGGGTTACCTTTGTGAATTCTGGGTGAATCTGAAAACCGTCACTGGGGTTGTTGTACACGGGTTTAACCATGTCAACGTGGAATGCTAAAATGCTGACAGCGTCCTCCCCGGTATAGTGTTGTGTGGCTCCTCCGCTCAGACTCCGGTAGCCACCACTTGAAACTCGGAATGTCAAGGTCAACCTAGATTAACGTAAAGTCGGTTTATGAAGGACTTTTATAATCCGAGAAAATGTCGTCTTCACCACAATCCATTGTTGTTAGTTGCAGTATATAAGACAAAGTGGTATTATCTATTTATCTGAATTTTAATAATAATTGCTTATTTTTATCATCCGACTAAAGCTGTGACAATCGCCAGTAACTAATGACAAATGTAATTGGACTGCTAGTCATATATTGCTAGTTGGTACTATTTTTCTGTCTATCGATGGTAGTATGTATATTATCGTATAACTGTATAACTAACTTGACCAAGTCACAATGTGGCTGAAATACTGCTGACGTGCCTAAGATTAAACTCACTCACTCACTCACTTACTACGTAGTGGCAACCCTTAAGCATACCGGAACACTTTGATAATGGGTTGGAATCCTCGATTTGGACCTTATTTTATCCATGATTATATTTACATATCATATACATTTATCAAATCATCAGTTTCCAAGCATGATTTACAAGCTGTGTGCAATGAACTACACCACCTCTCACAATAGTCTGTTTCCTAGCCTTACTGCACCACACTTCAGGAAATGCGTGCGGAACGACCGCGATATGTTAAGCTACAGACGAATGGTTGAAGAGCTAGTAAACTATCTGTTACCTTTGGCAGCAGCGAATGAAATATAGAGTTACTGCTGCCCCTGACTGACAAAAATAGCAGGTCTGATCGTTCGAGAGGCTTTCAAGTTGAATCGTTTCTTGAAGGACGTGATATGTTACGCTACAGACGTAACCTGGTACTAATGAGGAACTAATTTGGTACATTTGTGGAACCAAAAATATTTTTAAGCATAACAACATTTTATACCATTGTGGGTGGTATTCACAAATTTGGTGACAATATTCAAAAGTGTTCATTCGTTGGTTGAAAATATAGCATAAAGCAAGACAAAAGTAAATGTACGTATGTAACTTACTTGTCACCATCAACCAAAAGGTTATAGTACTTTGTCCCAAAGGAACAGCTGACCGTGTTCTTTGGGTTTTCGGAGCTGACTGTTTCACCACAAGCGTATTCCTTGTCCGGCGAAGCAATGTCAGGTCCACCTTGGTAAAACGTATAATTTACATGGATCTGCATCATTTTAGATAACAATCATCATGTGGGAGTAGACCCGTGAAGGTCCTGGTTAGAATTGATCTTCATTAACCCATGCTTGTCGTAAGAGTCGACTAACGGGATTGGGTGGTCAGGTTGACCTTGGTTGACACATGTCACAATATCCCAGTTGCGTAGATCATTGTTCATGCTGTTGATCACTGGATTGTCTGGTTGAGACTCCATTATTTGCAGACCACCGCGTAAAACATAACTCACTCAATCGTTCATAAAGCAGTACGTTACATTTAATATTAAAGAATTGGCAGCGAATGGTTGAAGGGCTAGTAAAATATATTTTACCTTTGGCAGCAGCGAATGAAATTAGAGTTACTGCCTCTAATGTTTACACATGTAACATGTCTTATGGTTAGTGAGGTTTCCAATTGAATCGTTTCTAGAAGGCCCATCCTATCTAGTATATAAGAACTTTGTGCCTTGGCTATATATTTGAGAACCGTGAGATATCCGTGTTAGAATTGGTCTTCAGCATCCCATACATTTGTACTCTTTTTACGAGCGACTAATGGGATCGTGTGGTTAGGCCCGCTCACTTGGTTGACACATGTCATCGTATCCCAGTTATGTAGACCGAAGCTCATGCTGTTGATCAGTGGATTGTGTGTTCCAGGTTCGATTATTTACAGACCGCTGCCATATAAGTGGAATATTCACGTGCGTGCGGCGTTAAGTTAACTAACCAACCTACTAACCAATTGTAAAAACTACTTCTTATGTGAATTAAAGTCATAATACCTTAAAATGAATGAAACTTTGAAGAATAATATAACAACTCCATGACAAACAATATCCTAATTATACTATTAACATAATTATATATATATTGTAATACAGACCGCGGCCTTACAACTGGAGTGCGACATTAAACAACAAAACACATCTCTGAACACCAAAACTGCACACGTCCAATACAGAACAAAAGAGAAAATTTAATGCTTGGAGACATTGAAGAATGACAAACCCCCAAACTGCACACGTCCAATACAGAACAAAAATGAAGTGCCTGAGGACATTGGAGATTCACAAACACCAAAACTGCACACTTCCACAGAACCCCAAAAATGCTTGAAGACACTGGAGATTGATAAACACCAAAACTTCACACTTCCACTACAGAACAACACAACGAAGAATGACACACATGTAGACACACCACTTATATTTACAAGGTCTGAAAATTACTAATTGAGTTTAGTTTTACGCCGCTTTTAGCACTATTCCAGCAGTATCACGGTGGGGGGGGGCACCAGAAATGGACTTCATACAATTTACCCATGTGGGGAATTGAACTCGGGTCTTCGGCTGGACGAGGGAACACTTTAGCAACTAAGCTTCCCCACAGCCCCCCGACTCAATGGGTAGTTTCACTTAGTTTCCATCCTTACATTTTTGACGAACGATTTGTGTCCGACAATAACATGGTAATCCAAGGAAACAGATTCCACTGAGAGTAAATGGCAAAGCAGCGATGGAATTTATACGAATGTATCACTAAAAAGGAATACGATCACTACCAATTACTTACTCATCTTGACAAATGCTCTGGCAATTCCAGTCTTGGCTTCGATGATATAAGATGGGGGATGTGGCAGAGCTCTGCCTTTAAATATAGCACTGGCCGTTACGTTGATGTTGTTGAGTCGCTCTTGATTTGTCCATACAATGACTTGTTCAGCTTGCTCTGTACCGTCTGCTATGAGACTATAGACGTGCTTGCCATCCTCAATGTATGAAAACTGTGCCTGTATCTGCGTCACCTCTGGCACTTGTGTCTTCTTGACTGTTTGGTGGAATGTTCAAATGAATCCAAATATATCGCCCGAGAGGATACATAAGTCCCAAAACTTCAAAGTCCATTTCAACTTACCAGAATTATAATCAAAGTATATTTGTTATTTTTAATAATGGCTAAACCTCAGTACATTCGCCAGCGGCTGAGGGGGTGGTGTAAATCCAGCTAGGGTCCATGCAGGTAGCAAAAGTACTGTAAGTCCCCATGGGCCCTAGTATGGTGATCTATCTTCAGCTGTTGGCGATCTCTAGCCTGTTTTGATATTATGTATTGTCCAAATAGTGCTATTAACTTTAACTTCACATGCTAGTTTCAATTCTGACTGTGATAATCTAGTCGTTTTATTGTCTTTTGCCGACAGGTGTTATAATATATACGTATTGGTTATATATAAACGTCCAATTTGTTCTCGTCACAATATGGCTGCAAAATTGCCGATGTGACGTTTAATAAAAACTCACTCACCCAAAATAGTCAAGTACATTTAATGTAACCAATGTTTTAGTCGTAGAATATGTGTGCTTTTAATGAATGGCTAGATTTCTCTAAATTGCTAACAGCTGAAGGGATGGGCTAAATTCAGCTGAGGTCCATGCAGAAAGCAAATCTAAGTCCCCATGATGTCTAGTATGGGGATCTACCCTCAGTTGTTAGTGATCTACAGCCGGTTTTATATTGTATTGTCTTCCATATTTAAACGGTTTTAGATTTTTATACTAGTTTTATATCTTTATCTGTGATCATCTAGTTGTTTTACTGTCCCTCGTTGGCAGGGTTTTATAACTTGGTTTTAATTATTATAGATCTACTACTTATTATAGTCACGGGTAGCAAAGGCACTGTAAGTCCCCGTGGTCCTTAGTATGGTGATCTACCTTCAGTTGTTGGCGATTTATATATTCCATTTTTACATTATATTGTCGAGAAATTATTTTCTACTTTTAAAGATATATGCTAGCTAGTTTTAAGTCAATCTGTGATAATCTAATGGTTTCACTGTCCTTCGTTGACAGGGTTTTATATATTA